GTCATCATTCTCGTCGTTCACCATAATCAACCTATTCCACTACTATTATGTTTAACCCTTTTTACGTTGTCATCAACCGAATGAGGATGTAAAGTCATGCGGTGAGTCCATCGAACACAGTTGGTGTGCTCATCAATCATTGAAATTACAAGTTTTGGCTATTTGTGTTTAATGCACTTGTCACAGTCGCCAGCATGTTGCGTTAAATCATCTCTTATAGTAGATAATAAGATGCATTAGTTCTGAAGCTCTACTGTTACTACAGAGGGATGCGGAGGAAGGAGGTGACAAAGGAAAAGCATAGCGAGGAGTAGTTTTTTTTGTAGTTCCAACTCCCTTGACCAACTCCTTGTTGAATCATCGCCTTCCTCAACATCACCACCAGTTGTCTCCACGGAAGTTATCCTCAAAATCGCTTCTTGAAGAGGTATTGAACTCACCTTCAAACAAGAATATTCCAGCTCTGGTCAACGGCTGCGGTGGAAGCAGTGGCAGTACCATCCACCATATTCCCAGCGCAAGAACTGATCTTGTTGCGGCTGCTGCTTCATCCATCAAGCTCGTTAATGGCGAGAGTACTTCTGTGAAAAAGTCTAAACAACTGCCAGTGAAGACTGAGCCTTCGCTAATTAATGGCATCCTCCATGTGAATGAGGACGCTTGTGTTGGAGCGAATGAGAGGCCAAATAAAGTGAAGGTGAAACAGGAAAAAAGTGATGGTGAGACGGATGCAGGAGGAGACGGAGATGATGATAAACAGATAGAGGTGAAACTTGTGGAATTCGCAACCTTCTTCACACACTACCTCTGCTTCAACCGTCGTGTGGGCTTTCATTACACGCGAAAGAGGCCGCGAAATTTTGCTTTACGGAATCGTATTATCAGGAGCACAATCTCGACGCTGTTGGATGATGACACTGCCCTTTGTTCATCCACAAAGCGTCGAAAAGTTGATTTGAAGAGCGAATCAACTGAGAGTGCTGTGTCATCTCAACTCCAGAACCAACCGGAGCCACCACCACCACCGCCCTCACCTCCCATGTTTGTCTGTGAATGGGCTGGCTGTCTCCAACGGTTTCCGACCGCTAAACAGGTATATTTTAAATAATTACTTTCTTGATTCCGCTGGCATTGGACTTGACTCTCTGATTTCCACGCAGGTATCTTGTCATGTCTACAAGTGCCACCTTAAACCGAACCTCCTCTCCTCCTCCTCCTCCTCCTCTTCCTCCCCCTCCTCCACCGCCACTTCTACGCCAATCGAGCGCCGGTGTTGCCAGTGGAACGATTGCGCCTCATTTCACCTGCCACGTGCGCCCTTTGCTCTGATGTCGCATGTTCTGGAGCACCACTGCTCATCTGGAGAGCTTGAATCTCGGCGCCGATTGGCGGCTGTTGTGTCACTCACTCCTCCGCCTCCGCCCTCGAATCCTGTCTCCGTCGGTGTTTCGGATCAATCGGGCTGGGCGATTATTAAGGAGGTAGAAACTCGTCGCTTGCAGTCCGATCTTTTGGTATCCCAATGGGCCATCTCGGGTCGCTACTACAGTCCTGCTGCTGCTGCTGCTGCCGCTACTAGCAGTGCAGGTGGAGGGGGACGCATTGTGCCACCTCCCAGGGAGGGTCCAGTGACCAAACACCTCCGTGTTACTGCAGCTCTTATTCTCCGCAATTTGGCTAAACACGTTCCTGAGGCTAGGAGGTCAGTTTTAGCTTCCACTGCCTTCTGGAACCAATTCCACTTCGTTAGCCTTCTTTTAAAGTCGCATTGCTTCAAGTGGAATGTACTTTTGGTTAGTTAGGCAACCAGTGTAACCACGATAACGAGTGTCAACTTAATTAGAATTTTTCTCCCCCCCCATCTACCCGTTGGCTTCTCACAAATCATTGCCATTAAGTGTTTTTTCCTTCGGTCTCTGAACTCCATTTTCGCCTTTTATGGTAGAATCTTGGGTGTTCCCTATGGTAACCATTCTTATCTCACATTTTGTACACCAATAGCTTGGCAATTTCTCCTCCAACGGTATCATTTTTGTATTCCACTTCTTCCATTCTTGAAACCCCGATCTTCGAGGCGTCTTGGAGGCGTTAATGCTCTTTTCGGTGCTTGCATGTGCCTAGGTGGTTGTTATCTGAGACACCATTGCTGTGTCAGATCGCCATGGGTACGTGTCCGGGTGCCTCGAGTCTGCGGACAAACGATGCGGGTCGTATAGTCGCCCAATGCCTCTCCATTTGTACTTCCCACAACCTCCACGATTTGGACGATCTCCACAGTCACTATCGTTACAACTATAGCCATCGGCGACTTCTAATGGGTGCTGCAGGGGACGAGGATATTGACGATTCTCCCTACTGTTGCTATGTTGATGATGACTACTTTTGCAACTATGAAGAGGATGATTATCCTGGCTACTACGAGTCGACTGGTGGTCGTCTCTCCCTCCTCCATCGTCTCACTCTACTGCGACAACGCTCCTCCGTCGATTTGGACGCTTAGGACCCTTTTTTCTCCTCCTCCTCCT